AGGAAAGCAGACCCTTTTTTGGGGGGGGGGGGAGGTTTACCCTAGGCAAAAACGAGCAGTTAACCCTGACAGTGCAGAGGTTGCCTCACTGCAAGGGTTAATACAATTTCTGCCCGGAGTTCTTCTCTAAAACAGAATTATAGCCCAACCTTTTTTTTTAAAATATATTTTTTATTAAGGTAGTTTTTTCGTTTATCAGGTCAAATAGTCTCCAAACATGACACAAACAATCAGCCCGAGTATGAGCAGATGTGACAATATAGGTAAGATAAGGCCATATAATAAACATAAACAAAATCAAACTCAACTATTAGGCACCAATAAAATGCATAGTTTAGTATGGTAGTTAAAAGTGGCATAAGGCCTTGCTGATTGCCTACGCTTCAGGTCTATCGTTAAGAGCAGTGAAGATAACTCAGGTGACCTCCAAGGCTCCTAGTGTGTGAGATAGTTGAGCCTTTAAGTACCAGGTCGTAAGGATAAATGGAGACATTATTTGGGACAGTTCGGAACTTTCAAATGCGGCAGTAGCGAAGTATCGCCAGCGCCTGAAAAATGTTGACGTTTTTAGTTCAGTATTTAGTTCCGCATCCATCCTTTCCCTATTAAATAACATTTTAAGCTCTCCCACAACCTCTGATAACCGGGGTGCCGACGGGGGCATTCCATGAACGCATTATGCATCTCCTGGCTGCCAGCAAGCAGATGTGTATCCAATCTGAGCCTTTGCGTACAGGAGGAGGAGTTGTATCCAAAGAGTCCCAGGATGCACTGAACAGGAATAGCAGAGGAGACAAAGGTGGTGACCAGGACACAATGGAAGTGATGTAGGTGGAGATTTGGGACCAGAACACGCTGATAGAAGGGCAGAACCACAGGCAGTGTGCCAAGGTTGATAGCCCAACCTTTTTATTGCCATAGTTCTCTTTAGGGTCACATATACTAATGTCCTCCTGTGACCCAAAACTCAGCGTATAGTGGGCGCTGCAGCCAGGATGGATCCTGACAGTATTGTTGGGGTCAACTCCCGCTGCCTGATTGACAGCTGGCTCTGCCTCTCTAGGGACAGAGCCAGCTGTGCCCGCCCTCCCTGCA